TTTATTCCATCAATTCCTGGGGCCTTGTTCTTTGCCAATTCTTCAATGCATTTTGGATTTCCTCTCTAAGTATCATTGGCTCTTGATCATATGGTACCTCTTGAAATGGTTGAACATTAACCATTTCCTTTTGGTACAATGACTTTGTGTTTTCCTTCCATGTTTTCTTGATGCATTCTGCATCATTCAATAATTTGCCCAGAGAATCTTTCAATAACGAAAAGTCGAGGCTTGAATTTTTTTTACAGTTCCCCCAGCTTCAGAAATGCTGACCGTGTTCTTCCATTTTGGTTTTCTAATTCCAAATCTTTGCATATTTTATTATAGTATTTGCCTTTATCTTATCGAGCTGATCTTTGAAATTTTCTGTTCAGCTCTTGGACCTCTTCAGTTCTTCCATTTGTTTTTTTTTTGTTTTTTTTTTAATGGGGAACATAAAAAACTACTTTATTTGCAATTTCCTTGAACACAAACCCCAGGATGATACAGAATTCTTCACTTCTTTAAATTAGTATAAAGGAATTGGTAAATGAGAAAGCTTACTAGTAAATTATATAGCGTTTGACAAACTTCTGCTTAATCCCTGGAGCTATGACATCAATTAGGTCAAACACTAGCATTTCCAAATTAGCAAATCAGTTAAAAAGAGAAAACACATGCTAGAGTTTTCTCTCACATCTGCTTTCTCAGCCTGAAAAATTCTTCCATTTGCTTTAGCATCTCTATGCTGGAGAGCAAGTTTTAGAGTCTCTTCTGACATCCATTTTGACCTTTTCCTTCTTTCTTGTCTTCTTAATGACTTTTTGCTCTCTTCACATATGATGTTCTTGATGTCATTCCACAACTCTTCTGGTCTTCGGTCTTTAGTGTTTAATGTATCAAATCTGTTCTTCAGATGATCTCTAATTCAGGTGGGATGTATTCAAGGTCCTATTTTGGTTCTCGTGGACTTGTTTTCATTTACTTCAGCTTCAGTTTGAATTTGCATATGAGTAATTGATGGTCTGTTCCACAGTCTGCTCCTGGCCTTGTTTTCACTAATGATATGGAGCTTTTCCATCTTCTCTTTCCACAGATTTAATCAATTTGATTTCTATGTGTTCCATCTGGTGAGGTCCATGTGTATAGTCGTCTACTATGCTGTCTAAAGAAGATATTTGAAATAAATAAATCATTTGTTTTGCAGAAATCTATCATTAGTTCTCCAGCATCATTTCTATCACCAAGGCCAAGTTTTCCAACTACTGGTCCCGCCTCTTTGCTCCCAGCCTTTGCATTCCAATCACCAGTAATGATCAATACATCTTGATTGCATGTTTGATCAATTTCATATTGAAGAAGTTGGTAGAATTCTTCTATTTCATCCTCACTGGCTTTAGTGGTTGGTGCATAAATTTGAGTAACAGTGGTATTAACTGGGCTTCCCTGTAGGCGCATGGATGTTTTCCTATCACTTACAGCATTGTACCTCATGACTGATCTGGAGATGTTCTTTTTAACGATGAGTACAACACCATTCCTTTTCAATTTGCCATTCCCTGCATAGTAAACCATGTGGTTGTCAGATTCAAAATGGCCAATACCAGTCCATTTCAGCTCACTAATGCCTAAGATAT